TCGTATAGTATATTTAATGATCGGCGTTGATCGACTGTAATGTTTTTATCGGTTTTTCTTTTTCTTCTTTTTCTTCTTTTTTTTGGCTAAATGCTGAATTTTTGATTGTAGTAATGGCAATGTTGTAGGGTATTTAAAAGAACGGTTCGGCTCGACTGTAATGTTTCACATTTTTTTTTTTTTTTTTTTTTACTTAAAACTCAAATCATAAAAAAGGAGTACAGAATAATAAAGAAGGAGTGCAGCCTGTAAAAATCTCAAAGGGGAAAATTGTATTCACAGCAAGTATAACTTTGTCCATACAATTAAAAATTATTATCCGCAATGCGTTTCGATCGCTTGGTTAAACTCTCAAATGGAAATAAATTCTTTGCTTTCGCTTCATCATTTAATCTTTCCGTTGGTTTACGACCTCTGAACAGAAGTGAGCAAGAGACGGTCGCTCAAGTTCTCACCGGTTGAAGTCACCAACATTAAATTATATACTAAATATATATATACAAAATATATATATATATATATATATATAAGTTTGAAGTCTTTTCAGACAATAAACTTGCCTTTCAAATCTGTCAAATGTTATATTATCCGTTATACTTTATATATATATTTTTTCAATTGATTTCGCCTCAGCCTTCAAAAAATTGTTTATAAATAATTTAAGTGATTCTCGTAAAAGAAAATGCTTTAGATACTAAGTCTTTAGATTTACTGACGACTTTCTTGAATATTCTTTGTTGCATAAATTTATGAAGAAAAAAAGAAAAAGAAGAAGAAGATGAAAAAGATGAAATTTTCTTAATCTTAACACATATTTGTTTGTTGAGTCATCTACGTATCTGGTGCACAGGAGATGCTTGTACGCACCTATATTACGATTATGGTCTTTACCTTTACTTTACTTGGTTTCTTGGTTTTGTTGGCTTGGCTTGAAATTGTATTGTTATGCTATAAATACGTATATACGTATGTACGTAAGAAATATTTCAACAACAAATGACAACAAACATCCAACAATATTATGCAACGTTTTTTTTACAGCTGTGCAGCAACATTTTTATATAAGATTAAGTTTGCTGATTCGCATTCCCCTCCCCTTCTTCTTTCACACAGATTTATAAGCCAACTTATGATAATTCTTTCTTTGATCTTTTTTATAAGTCGGGCCCGTGCTTTAAGAAATTTTGTATTTTATTAGCAATAGCAAGCAATTGTTAGAAAACTATTATGTTCATGACTCATTTCTCAGTGAATTTCATTTCAAAACCACGTATGCTGTTTCTTTTTCCGCCTGCCTTTAACATTGATCATAAATGCAGCCGTACATTCAGTGAAAGACGAAATTTAGGCCAATATATTTTTGAAAAGTCCAACTCAACACACTTCTAATCCTTCCCTCAGCGATGACTCAAATATGCTTTGAATTCGAAATGAGAAAATGTTTTTAATAAATTTGAGTTTTTTTCTTCCATTATTTCGTCAATAGCAAGTAAGAATATGATACACCCTACATCCACATTGTCTAATACAATTCTTATTTTTGTATGAAATTATTATTATGGGTCAATTTTCATTGCTATATATTAAAACTTATACTTTTCTGCTATACAAAGTATCAATTTTCGTGAAAATGCTTAGAATAGAATGTAAAAAATAGGTCGAGAAGTTCCAAATTTAATACAGTTAATTTTCTTATGTGAAATTACTATTATAATATAATCTTCATCATGAAGCATTGAAAATTATACGTTTTTGTCGCCGTTGAACTTCAGTTCCCTTAACATGAGAACGCGTTCAAAAATTGCTCTAGCCAGTCCATAGTTTTCATAGCAATTTAGAATACCGTAATACTACTACTTATCCACTTTTGCAAATATTTTTTTAAGAAAATTGCATTTTTTTTTTTTTTTCTATATAACGACCTTTTAGAATAGGGCGAAAAAGTGAACCGATCCGAACCATTTCGAATATATTTCGTCCTTGGGTGTCAAAACACGTCACTGTACCTTGATCCGTAGCTTGAACACAAATTACTAAAGGACAGAGATCAGACGGATGGAGAGGCTTAATACGTTTCAGATTATAATACTGAATCGATCGGTGTAATAAAATATGGGTCTATCTTAAGCCCTTCTGCGTGTTACATACGTCCGTACGAACTTCGTATAATTGGTACCACAAGTGATGTAGGGTGTAAAATGACAAAATCGCTTTATGAGCACAGATAAACATAAGCGATAACCGTAAGCGAAGTAATGTACAAAGTTTTAATCTCTCAGAATCTTTTGATTTTGGTCGTTCAGTCAGTAGTCGCTGACGATCAAATCAAAGCTTACGGGCATATGTTTCCAAATCAAACATAGAAAGAATTTTACTTAATTAACATTTTTTCTTTTTTTTGAGACATTCACCTGATTTACCTTACGACCTAAGGGATTTCTTATTCCGATTGGGTGAAATCCACAAATACTTAAAAGGAATTGCTTATAAAAAAGCCTGAAGAATGTCGCTCAATCGAAAAATTGAAACTCGAATCACGTATCGAGTATGGATTAAATATAAAAATGGAATTATTCGCCTGCAATTGCTTGAAAAGCGTTAAGTCCTCTTTCTTGCAGGCCTTAGGTTAAATATACATATTTGTGAATTTGAGTTAATTTCTAGGATTGTTATGTATACCTTAGTATACTTGGAAAATACCTTCGCTTATTTGAATGTTTAAAGATCCTTTTGTACTTTTGAACGCCTTGGAGCAACAGTCAGAGGATTTCATGTTAAGTAAATGCATGACCACGAAATTGACGAATAGCTTCTTGTGGCCTTGGACGTCGCCTCATCACTGATTGAATCAGATATTCAAAGATATTCAGTGCTAGTAATGTATTGCTTTATGTATTTATCATTGTTCGTTCCTGCACATCAGTAGAGAATTTTATTTGCAAGTAATTAAACGAAATCTTGCTGTCTTTGATTGTCTTCCTGCAAATGTTTCATGCATTTATTGTGACCGAAATGATAGATCGTTCTTCAAGGTTTCGTCGTTCAAGGCCGCATTTATAATAATTGATTTTCAACGGGGAGGAATATTATAAGATATCATTAAAAAAATCATCGATTTTTTTTATAAATTTTTACTCTGGATTTACGCATAGACGCAATATTTTCAATTGTGTTTTCTTGCTTTCTTTCTTTCTTTTCAAGTTAAATTTTGAAGAATTTGTTATCATTGCATTGCATTGCGATGTTGATGAAAAAGTAAAATCTTTCTATATATTTAAGTAAACCTTCAGTTTGTTCGTTTACGTTGACATTTTTTACCAACTAATTCACCTTAAGCCAAGTTCGGTGTAACATATATTCAATGTGTGTGTGTGTGTTATTGAGTCTTTAGGGGTATTCTTCGATATTCTGTTTGCATGTTTTTCGTTTCGTTTGTCAAAACGAAAGATGTTACTTTTACTGATGTTCGTTGTAGTATATGGGCTGGTTTCAGTGTACGAACTTTGCTTGTAAAAATATTGTTAGAGCATTGCATGTGCCTTGCGAGCGATAAATGCTTAGAGAAAAAAAAGGGAAAAAGACTAAAACAAAAATAAAAAAAAAAAAAAAAAACAAATACCAAAAGCAAAACTTGGTTATTTTATTTCAGGTGACAGTTGACAGGTGGATATAAATTCCTTTATTCGTGGTGCATATAGGACTACGATTCGTTTTTTATTTCTTGCATTTTTCCGCTTTCGCTTAGCTGTTGAATTTGAATATTTTATTGCATCCTCTGGGATTTGTAGTACGAACTGAAACTGACAGAGATTTTGACAAAACGAGAAAAAAAGGCGAAGCGAAAGAAATAAAAATGAAAGAAAAAATGTGAAATATTTAAATTTTACAGAACTTGAAAAAGACAAAAACAATAAAAATATTGTTAGAAATATATATGAACACAATCCCTGTTGTAAGGAAGTCTAAAGGATAGCTTTCCTCACATTTCTTAAATAAGTGTTTCTCTTGCGGTCACCACAATTACCACAATTGTGATAGAGATGATAAGAAGTGAGAAAACTTTATCTGTTTTGTCGCATATCCTCACTTTAACTCAGTATATGCAAAAAATTTAAATTAATTTTTTGGATCATAAATCTTTTTAAACTTTGCCTTTCACTCAGCAAATTGCAATTGGTCAGAGTTTCCTGCGTCAGTTTTAACACTAGAATTACCCCGAGTCTTTTTATGGCCATATTTTGAATTTCGAGTTTTTAAAATGCTTTAAAATTCGACTTATCGCAATCATATCATTTCTTTTTTTTTTTTTTTTTTTTTTTTTTTTTTAATATAACCAATCACTCAGGGGATGTCTCCTACTCGTATAACATGAGTGATTAGAAAGATGAAATTAGGAAAGAGAAAAAAAAATGTTCGCAACCGATAGGTGTAATGCTTTTGCCCACTGAGCACTCAATACTGCTATGACCATAGGAAAGCCTGCTTCGTTGAGATTTGAACGCATGAACACTGACTTGGTAGTGGCGATTCTTACCCATTCGGCTACCAATTCCGAATGATGCCGGAGATATTGAACTGAATTGAATTTAAAATAATTTTATACTCATTTTAAAATACGCCAGAAATTGTTAATGGAGACATCCGGCAACCAAATATGGCTCGTATTCGGTAAATTCTCATTGACTTTCATCACATCGAATGTTCCATACATTTTTTTATCGCATTGATTATAACGGAAATAAATAGACGTTAACACGATTACAAACTTCTCATGGTTTGTTCGTTTTATTGTTGTTGCTGTGTAGTTTTAAAATTTTTAAATTGACATAACCTCAAAAAAAGAAAAGCAAAAAGAAAAGCTTTTTGGTATATATCTCATAGGTTCCTTAAAAAAAGGATTTTCTGCCTTTATTTTTAGAAAAGAATTTTGTTGTTTTTGTTTTTAATTAATTCAACATTTCATTGAAGAATTGTTCGTAAATTTTTTCCTGCATTTATAGGCCTCGGCGTCGTTCCGGTTCAAGTATAGTGGTTATAGATGGCGATGATTTGAAACCATGTCTACCAGATGATTATATCAGCGGCCAACATTATCGACAACCTTCAGATGATAGTAAAGAAATTGATCAGGAAATGTTGACAATGTTATCGTTAAATCAAGATAATGGTAAATGAAGTAAATAAGTTTGAATAAATAGAGTAAAAATTTTAAAAAGATTATCTTTATGGATTTCAGGTCCACATCGTGAGATGGCTGTCGATTGTCCGGATAATTTTATAGCACGCAATAAGACACCACCTCGTTATCCGCCACCCCGTCCACCACAGGTAATTGTTAAGAAATCACATGAAAAATTCCCAGAGAAACGAAAAAAGAAAGTAACACAGCAACAACAGAACCACACTAAACATATAGGAAGAAAACATAAAAATTGCATCATTCACACAAAGACACATAACAGCACAATTTCAACATTATCATCATCAAGAACCTGCAATACCTGCAATATATCCTTAGATTCATTGTCATCATCAGCAAAACCCATATTTTCCATTACATCTTTATCGAAATCCTCTCCTTTAGAGCAAATCCCTTTTTCCGCAACATCATTACAATATCTAGATGGCTTACATTACGATAGCTTTAGCACCAACAGCAATAACAACAACACTTTGCCTAAATGTACAAAATTTTCTAAAATCCCTCCAGAAAGGAAATTATTACAAAATTTTTATTATTTCAATTATTCACTAAAACAACCACACGACAATACAACAACAACAACAATAACAACAACAAAAACAACAACAAAAACAAATATTTATCATACACGATCTATGATTGCATTGCGACACCACGATCATGATTATCATGATGAACGTCACTTGCGTTGGCAAAATCTTTATAATCAACAACGACAATTGAAATTGGAAAAATTCGAAAATGATGAAAAAAATAACGGACAGCTGCAGTCAATTAAAATGTCAAGCAATGTGGTGGTAAAATCACCAAAGGTAATCGCGAACGCTAATCCAAACGGTGGACTGACGACGCCGACAGAGGATTTGGAATTAATGGTGGATGGTTTATATCGTAAAAATTCGTCATCTCATTCATCTTCATTTGGTAGCGAAATATTGAGCAAAAAACAATCCCCGGAATCTTACGATTCAATATCGTATCAAAATCTGCAACACAATAACAATGAATTAAATAGTGGTATTGAGGAGGCAGGCGGTAGTAAAAAGAATTCCTTATCATCAAGCACATCATTACCAAATTCGAGCAATTCATCACCCACCAGCTCCAACTCAACGAATTCCGCGGTAACTAAAAACCTTTTTAATCAGGCAGTTGCCAATACTATGGTTTGCGGTGTTGGTGTGGCTGGAATAGATTCTTTAACAAGTTTAAATAGCTCTTCTTCCACACCACCACCCGAATATGAATTGCGTGAATTCACTCATAAGCAATTAACTGGTAACATATTGCCAGCATATCGTAAACACCGCGAATTACCGGTAGATGCACCCGATAGTTTCATTGAAATTATTAAAACGACACCACGTTATCCACCACCTGCCCATCTATCCTCCTTAACGTCGCAGTTATCTTCGTGTTCTTCTACTTCTACAGCCAATACGACATTAACTCGCTTCAATTCTAATAAAAACACTTCGCAGCGACACCATCATCATCTTCAGCAGCAACAGCAGCAAGAAACTTCGCTAATATCCACTATGTCTTTAAATGGATCATTTGAAGATTATCAACAACAACAGCAACAACAATTTCATCACTTAGCAAATGGCAAACAGCAGCCTCAGCCTCAAGTGGCTGTAATGAATGGTTTGATTAAATCTTCCAACAAACACAATGAAGAGGTTTGTGTACTTTGTCAAAAAAAAAAAAAAAAAAAAAAAATGTTCCTTTATATCCTTTAGTTCCTCTTCTTTAGACTGTCTTTATCTCTGTATTCTTTCTAATGCCAAGCAGTAAAGAATAGAATTTAAAAACCGTCATCGAATTTGTAGTAAAAGAGTTTTGTCGTTCTTCCATGTATGCTTTAATATCAAACCTGTCGAGACACGGTAATTCTTTAAATTTAATATCCAGGAAGTACGACTTTCTTGGACGACAATGGTTTTTTGCTTTACTTGATAGCCTAGGTCCACAGCAATGATCAGGCCTTAATTAGTCAATTTTTTTGTGTCATTTATTATATAGTATCGTCAGTGCTTTCTTCCGCGATTAGCAGCAAGCTATTGTTTCAACCCCTTCCCGACATGCGAAACTTATTACAAATGTGGAAATTGTTGCCAGTGTGCTGTCATGCCAAGGCCGATGCAAACCAGCTATGCCTGTAGCTGTTCGTTTATCGTTCAAGAATATAACTGAATTTTTAAACGTTTATCCGAATATTTGTTAGAACAAGTCTAAAACTTTTACTATCTTTTCTTGCTTGTTTTAATTAAAAAATTGATTTAACGGATGACACTTTATGGCTTAGTCGACTTCGCTAGAGTTGATGGAAAGTTCGGGATTCTCCCCTCAACTTGAACGTATCAAAATATATATTTGTTTAGTTATTCACACTTTATTTATTTATTTTTTTTTGTTGTTTTCCTTATTTAGACGACTTATTTGGAATCTACACACGCGTATCTAGCTAGCCACAGTGTATTTGAACTTTGAAAAGCAATTTTGGTTTAATTGGATAGTCTTTCTCAATCAAGGTCTAAGATGAAAGCCTCCAAAAATAGTCTTTCCTCGATCAATGCTTTTTCGTTCAAATTCGAGTGAACGTTCAGGGAAATTTCAAAGAAATTGTCTCTCTATTGACATATGCTGAAGGAAAACCATTTTCCTTTTTTTACTTTAAAAGGTTCATCTACTTAAGATTTTTATTTGTTTATGGTTTTCTTCTTAAATATGAACGTGCAGGCAATCTATTTAGATTGATAAATGCTAGCTCCCCTTAATGCTGGGTATTTAATCTATTCTGTATCAAAAAAAAAAAAAAAAAAAAAAATTTTTTTTTCCCTTTTCTAATATTTAATAAAAGCTTTTCTTTCGATACGCGTTACTTACTTTTTCTATCTCTCTCTCTCTCTCGAGCTGTCTCTCGATCTGCCTCTCTCTTTCTGTCTGTATCTCATTCACTCACTGTTTCTCTGCCGTCTTTTTCTGTCTTATTTTAATTTAAATCTTACTCATTTATTGATAATATTCTTCATTAAATTTCATAACCGTCTCTCTTCTCATTTCCTCTCACTTTTTTAACATTTAAAATAACCACTAAATCTTCACACACTACACTTTTCAAAAAAGAAACTAACATTAGAAGAAATTTCGAAAAATCTGAAAAAAAATACTTTTCTTGTTTTTTTTTTTTTTTTTGGTATAACGATTAAAAGCAATTTTCATATTTATCGTTCTTATACGCAGTTAAATGGTTCGATAAAACCAATACCGCCACCACGTGATTTACCACCACCACGTAACGATAGCAAAGCTCTTGATGGGCGCTTAGTGATCAATCGGAATTCATCCACAATACCGCCACAACTTCCCGATCGTAAATTGAATAATAATAATATAAATAACGTAACCGGACATGGGCATCATGGTCAACAAATAGCTCAGATTGTTGAGCCGACATTAGAGCAATTGGATAGTATTAAAAAATACCAGGTAAGTAAGGAACATTTATTAGTAACTTCACCATTAATATTATCATTATTATTATTTTTATTTTTTTTTATTTGAAATAAAAAAGAAAGCACAGATGAGAAACTAAAAAAGAAAAAATTACGATTAAAATTCACAGTTACATTTCAAAAGAAATACCTAAAATATGCTACAAATTTTCATTCATTGCGGTATGTTATTATAATTCAAAGAAATTTTTTTATGGTGCGATTAGTTTAAATAAACATAGTAGCTTAGGTTAAATCGCCCCACTGAACTTCGGTGGTCCGGGGTGCAGGCTTCAAACCTGTAGTCGATTAACGTCGAAGTGGTTCGATTCCACCTGGGGGGCGTTACTACACACTGGGACTGCTGTCGTGATTGCTTTTTTCAATTACCTCTTACGGAGGAGAGATGAGCCCGAGAGGGGTGTATAAGTTTTGTCAAAATGTTTCCACTACGTAGAAAGAAGTTTCGTGGAGAGACCTCCATGGGAAAAGGGTGTAATCATTTTTCATCCAGCAAAAATGTCCATCTTGCCCGTTTTTGCGATGTCTGTAGTAAACATTCTTCTGATCGCCTAGATGAAGATCTCTCGACTTCAAGTTTTGCTGCAAGCGTTGGAACTTCTTGCAAACGTGCAAAAATCGGTCGAAGGACATGTCTACGCTACACATACACTGAAAGCAAGTTTGTCTCCTAAAAGAAAAGAAAATGGTTTTTTGCTCACAAGCTTACACAAAATTTGAACATATATTCTATTGGCAATATTAGGGAGCCTGCACAACAATTGAGAAAATTTGTCCCTTCCACCCAATATTATAGGGTACCAAAATTTCATGTCCTTGCAACGCCCAGAGGCAAACTTCAAAACTTCACAGATTATATACCTTCTTGATCACTGTGGGTTTCGGAATGTATCTAACCATGTCCGTCTATGTGTCTGTCCATCCGTCCATGCATCCATCTGTGTAGTATATGGGGTAAAAATTCCAATGCTTGCAAAAATGGCTCAAAATGGCCCACACGCCTATACAGAAAAAATTGAGAACAACTTTGCTTTCCATGTTTTTTGCTTCTCATAACTCATAAACCACAAAATATAAGCAACATAAATTTCCACTTTTACTCTACAAAAATAGAAAAAATCCGCCACGCCTATCCATTATTATAAAATACGAAAATATAGTTTTTTGTTTATATCTTTTTTTTTTTTATTATTTTTTTCTACATAAAGATGATAGTTATATAAGATTCGGTCACAACTGAATGTAATTTTCTTATTCGTTTAATTTAAACTTATAATAATAAATTCCTTCGATTTTCTCTGCCATATAACTTTACCTTGCACAACACGTTTGTATCCAACAGTGAGTGAACTAATAAATTTGATAGTGGATGCAGTTCAATTTTAAAAAGTTTTGATAACATATTTTTATTTATTACTATTGCTATTATTTATGAAATTTAGCAAACACAATATTGAACTCTGTTAAAAAAGTAGCAGGACTCGCCGGTTAGAGCGCTGTTTTTATTAAAAACGTTAATTTTAGGCTGATAATGGAAATGTGAACAAGTATGATTCAAAGTTGAATGGCGGTTAATTTACTTAGTTACGACATTTATATTTCGTTGTTATTAATAGCGATCGGGTTTATTTTTTTGAGTTGAAATTAGGAATTCAGTCCAGTCGTTCTACAAACAATTTACAATCGAATGTGTTAACGAAATCGCCGAAGAGATTTGGGAAACTAACATTACTCTATCAAAAACTTAGGATTACCTATAATACAGAGCAGGCGGGGTGGTGGTGGGTGTGGTTGAAAATTTATCTAACTCTGTTCACCGACCCAATGAAAAAAGCATATCGACGAAACGACGAAATCCGATACACTTGACGTGCATAATTCGATGGCATAGGAGGTTCAAATAAATCGTTTGCAAGTTTTTATATCAAGTGTTTCGCAGGAAGAACCCTGCCGTACATATGGCTTTGCAGCAATTGACTCCACTTTGGTTTTTTCACTTGCACACGAACACCCCATAAACGCAGTAATGCATTAACTAATACGCGTTGAGCGAGTATTATATTCGTCGGATTGATTTCCCGTATTGCAAAGGATACTTCAATCCGATAACTTAAAATTCGCAAAAAAAAAAATATGCGACAATTTTTGTCTTCGACTTAACTGCCCATGACTGCCCATTGAAAAGTAAAGAAAAAATTTATTTCATTTTTTTAACAACTCCTGCTACTTGTTGACTTGGAACTTCTCAGATGAAATATTTTAAACGATTTTTTTTAAATCATTTTTTTTTTTTTGGCATACCCGCCCAGTTGAGGGATCTAAAACATAGAGATGCGACAAGTTATTAAACATTACAGTTGCAACTTTCGTCTAACGTTAATGAATCGAAAAGCAGTTGAGACTTAAGTGAAATTTATTTAAGTGAATCGTGTCGTATGTTAAGCGAATTCTATTTTCAACTTGCTTGTCAACCGAAAATAAAATAAAAATGAATTTAATTGTTTGGATATCGATTGAAAAGGTTTGAAAATGTATTTATTAAAATTGTTGCTTTTATAACTTTTCACTAATTTACAATAAAAAAAAAAAATCTTGATCATGAAAGAAAAAAATAATGGACTTCCATTCCAGTTTGTAAACATAGAATAGGACGATTGTTGGTTAATCATATTTCGATCATATAACGATTAACTAGATTCCTTTCAGTTATGTGGAAAATTTTTCCATTCAAATTAATTATTCGTCATCGATTCGGACCAACCTGAGAGATCATGTGTTGGATATTTTAATTTATAACAATTTATAAAATCCTCCCGTTAATCCATATGCATCATCCAAATGCGCGACGTGTTACGAACTTCCAACCCATCCAACAGTATTTGCGTGCAACAATCATTGTTAGTGAATTGTTCCGTCAAACGATGCGAATATGTCGACATCACGCTACGATATGGAAAAATTTACATAACGAAAATTCAAATGGATTTAATTAAGCTTTACCGAAGTAGCCTAGTATTCGACACAATGTTATACGAAACGCTTGCTCATTTTTTGTACCTCAAAGCTGAAAATGTAGCAGTTTTTATATTCGCCTTATTATCGCTAGAAATGTGCTCCGTTTACCCTTATGAAGGGTAATACATCTGTCGTCTTCTTTGCTATACGATAGCTACAGGAATACTTAAAACTAATAAAAGTTGACGGGAAAAGATGAAACTTGAGTCATATATTGTCATATCAATTCTGTAATATATTAACATATGTTACTGTAGCAGTGTTTAAAAAAGTAAGAGTGATTTTAAAAACTTCACTATGTTTTTGAAACCAACTAAAATGATTTATAATGAAAATCAATATGAAAAAAAACTATTTACATATCAAGGGTATTTCTCAGAGAACAACGATTTCAAAAATTCCTTAGGTTTGTCAAATTCGGTTACAAATTGATTTTGCCTTTTATTTGAAGGCCTCGAAACTTTACAAAGTGGTGACACCCATTAACACGTGTACAATTTCGTGACGGAGTATTTTGAAATATTTGGAGAAAAAAAAAATAATAAAATTAGAGCAAATATCACGATGTAAACTCAAACGGGTTAAATGGAAATGCAATTCGTTTTGAAAACACCCTAAATTTAATGAGATTCCGTAACACCTTGATAGGAACAAGCTACCGCCTCAAATAAATGATACGATATTCGTATACTGTTTTTCGGTTGTGTATGCTTGAGCATCTTCAATATGGATTTCGCGCTTTTTTCGCCAAACAAGTGCATAAATTTATTGTGGTCTGCCGTTATATATATATCGGAAACCCTTTAGCTTTGATTCCGATCCCCAGGAGCCGCCGGCATATCGAGGTATAAGTAGTAGATTCGTTTAGCCTGGAAATTAATCTTTGAAGCAATTCTTATCGAAAATCGTAGAAAACCGTCCAATAGTAACTGTGTTTTTTTGGGCGAGCTTGAGGACCTTGTCGAGAATGGAGTACACATAACAAAAGGTTTCGAGTATGTAGCTTATATCGCAAAATACTTGAAATTTACTTTGAAATCATTAGAACGTATTTGTCAACCGTAGGACGTAATATATCGCATCCCAGATTCTGAATACATAAATAATAAAAATCGCAAAAATCGCAAAATGCGAAGAAAGCATTTGTTACTTATATTATCAGAAGCTAATCTTTTTCAGGCGAATATGAAAATGTTTGTAACATTATTAAATTATTTGAAACGGTGGGTGTCGACAATTCGACTATAGTTTTTCATATGTCTTATCACGCTTTCAAGATACGTTTGCGGATCTCTTTTTATGCCTTCTCTTCGTCGGTGTCAGTGCAAGTGTGTAATTTTATTAAATTATATTGTCGTTATTAAAATTCACGCGGCATCTCACTCATTTTAAGCATTTCCTTAACACTTGTTACTCTTTGAACGTATTCAAGTTATTCCCTTTTAACTCGTTTCTCTCTTCTTAGTCGTCTCTTCACTTCCTTACCCTAACTAATGTTTACAGCGTAGCTTTTATGTCTTATAATTTACGTAAGGCTTTCTCATCAAAAATGTATGTATAAATTTATTTACTATTGCGCAGAAAATTTTTGCATGCAACACCATCTGCATACATTTCCGCCGTGGAATACATGATAGACTTAACGAGCGGTAATGAGACAAAACTAACAAATGTCAATGATAGGAAAACTTTGTCGTCTTTATTGTCGTAACTCTTCTGATGAAATCGTATTTATTGAGAGATCTCAGGAGATTGACAAGAAAAACGAAGAAGAAAACGACAGCGTTAAGGGATAGCATTACAGCATCAGCGTAAAAAAAAAAAAATGTATATTTGGCAACCATTTTGCGATAGATAGGACGGATAGACTTCAGGAGGTTCATTATGTGTATGTTATTATTAAAAATAGATTATTTATGAAAGATAAGATTACAACTCTGGAAGTATTTCCGCGATGTG